ACTGTAATGCAATGTATCGTACTTACTGAAACTCAATGTGTGAAAACTTGAATATTGATCGAGTTTTCTAAGTGGGAGGTTTTGGATTTAGTTTTAAGAGTATTTAAGCTGATACGATCAAGGTGTCCTTATCCAGCGCTCTCTTTTTCATTAGCCGTTTTCCTAAAATCAGCCCATGATTAGAATTATCTAGTATTATTTTTGCATGTTATACTTCGGTAGTTGTTATTTCATTCTTGGTAAAATTTAGCACAATTAAAAAGAAATTCGAGAATGAGTCAACTGTTTGTTATTTTAGTCGCCGGAAAAGTCTCCCGAAACTTTGTAATTTAAAAACAGATCAAAATGAACTTCGTCGTGAATACACACATTTTGATAACATATTAGAACGCAGACGTTTGCGATAGTTCAAAGTAACTTTCGTTTAGATAATGTGTCTTTTAAATAGTGCTTTAGTTACCTTACTTTTTCTATTCAAACATTAAGTTTCATGATAAAGTAATCACACAAATCAGCCACAAAATATTGTTTTATAACAATTCAAACTTTTTCTTACATCTTTTCTGTTTATGACTTCCCCTAATCGATAGGAAACACTGCACCTAGATTTCATGTAATGTAAAACTTACCCGCAAGACTCAGCTTCAGTGTTAAGATATATCACCATATTTGTAAGAATCGAAACCGGATCGAAACATGAATAACTCAAAGATAATCTCTCAGGTTGTGACATTGTGTGAAAAATTTGGGAACTAATTGACTTTAAGAAAGTTAGACCAAACTACAAATCATATGAATCCAAGTAACAAATTTTGGAGTAATTTCTCTGTTTCGGTACTTTAAAACGTTTATTTTGATTAATACAAATCAATCGAAGGGACACCGTGATTAAAGCTATTGCTTAAAAGACTTTATCAGAAATAAGACATCAATATGTGCAATTTAAGTGGGCATATATCGTACACATATTCGAAATATATCGATATTCAAAACATTATGCATGTATATTCGCTGATAATAATTTATATATACCTGCTAAAGCAGTAACATTGGCAGAATAGAAAGAAGGGTCTGTGTCAGATTCCAAGAACATATGTCAAACCGTTGAAAATAAATGGGATTAAAAGCTTCTATCAGTGCTAATGTGACACAGGGCACCTAGTTGATAGACTGAAGATTTTCATCATTATCATTTGACTGTCAAATTCTATTCTCAAACTCGTCGAAGCAGTAGTCATTGAACGCCTCAAGTTGGACATTCCTATCCAAAAGGAAACATTTGAGAATCTTTTCTTAACACGGTTATTTTATCATGCGTTTTTAACATTATTCAAGGGATTGTTCCGTCCCTTTCTCGTATTTTGATTGCATCAGTTTTTAACAAATCATCAGTTTGCTTTTCGATTGATTGATCTCAACTCATGCCATTTTTAAATTCAGTTGACTTATATTCAGCCACATCATTATATAATTAAATAATTATTACACTTCGATGCTCTCTTGTTACAATATCCAATGGTCCAGAATCTTCTTTCACGGAATACAATTATTTGCAAAACTTATTAGACGTTTGTGATCAAATTATTCCTGTATGACCATATCAGTTTTTATTGTTAAAAGTATGTAAAGCTTAGAATAATATTGATTCTTTGAGTAGCTGAAAGGAACCTTTTGAAAAAAAATGAGTTCGTGTTATTTTGTTCAATTCTTTATTCTTGCTTTTGTCAAAATCATAAAGTGAACTAAATAGATGATAATAACTATTATTATTTTATCTTAAGTAAGAATAATCTAGTTGTATAGTTAAAAGTAGTCCCTCAAAACAACTTTAATTATAGACGATTGATAAATCAACATAGAAAAGCATGTAAGCTTCATCTTAAAGCGATTTTCAAATTTCTACAACGAATTCGTTGGTGTTACATTTCTAAGTTTTGAAAACTCTAACCAAAAGAAATTATTCATTGGTACTGAAGTATTGCAAACAATTTTTTTTGGCTTCGAACTTAAGATGATAGTCTCTAAATTATTTTTAGTGCTAGAGGTAAATGTGAAAGCCAGCTAACATTTTCATAGTCTCGTTTCTTTTATTCTTCTCTAATGATCAACACACTGGGAAATAATTATTCAATCAGTTTTCATAAGTCCCAAATTGCAGTTTTGAATGCTACGGTACTTAACTGTCGGTTATTGTGCTCAGAATTTTCTACTAAACAGGAATTTACGTCATTGAACAAAACTATTATTTTCAGGCAGAACTTTGGAGGTTTGTGTTTTTACACATTTGAAATCATCAATCACTCATTGTTAGACCACCATTAGAAACCTGGAAGCACTGGATGACCGTTTCTTCCTGGTATGGGACTCATTACCAGTGCGCAACCACGACTCCTGCACCTCGCAGGATTCGAACCCGGGGCCTTCGACATTGTGCGCGAAAGCCTAACCATCGTAACAGTGCTCATTAGTGACTAGCTTCGTGAGGAAATTCTCGGAGTTCTAGTTGAGAAGACGTGACCAATGGAGTTCAACCCTGTCGGGTGTAGGCAGTAACTATCGAAGACAAATGGGTGAGGTCGCGTAAAATCCGTAGATCAATCAGAATTAGACATTAACACCGTTGGATGTCGTCCTAGTGGTCCGATGGTTAAGCGTTCGTGCACAGTACCGGGTTCGATTCCTGCGAGTTGCAGGAGTCGTGGATGCTCACTGCTAATGAGTCCCATATCAGGACGAAACGGTCGTCCAGTGCTTCCAGGTTTCTAATGGTAGTCTAACTTTGATTGATTCATGATTTCAAATGTAAAACTATTATTATTATCATCATAACTATTAAGAGGTAAATCAAAATTTCACTAATTTTTACATCTTTCATTTGTTTATTTTCTTCATTTTATTTTGTATATCTTATTTTATCATCTTAACATTGACACGCTTCTTTTTATGTAATTTTGATGTTGGTTATTTTGGCATCCATTTTTCAAGTTCCGGTTTATTTCATATGTTATTTTGACTAATTCTGTCACTTAGCAAATTTGTCAACTTACAATTAATTTCTTTATTTCGCTGGTCACAGTCAGTTACATCAGCTGTTTTATTCTAACAATTCACTTTATCAATCACCTTGATTGTTTTAACATTTTTATGTGTGCATTTAAATATTATTTATTCTATAATAGAGTAAGGCGTGATAGAGATTTGAGTGAAAACAAATTTACTTTCATTTATTTTTTATACAATGGGAAGTTTAAATATTTTAAATTAATATTAAATGTAAACCACGTAACAAAGTTTTGTGTCAATAAATATCATAACATAAAACAATAGGCAATCAATTTTAATTAAATTTGAGTACTCAGGAAGTGACGGTTCAATAAAACGTGATTTAATCTGAATGACAATACATTTTTTATGACTATGTAATAGCTACAAACATTAAAAGTTTATCCGAATACTGGAAGTAAATAAATGAGTAATTGATGTAAATTCAACATGGAATACATCATTTCAAGCGTCTAAGCTGAAATGAACTAATAAGAGTTGGATTAATGAATTATTAAGGGACACTGTAAAACAGTAGACTTCATACGTAACAGACAGTATCTTAATTTATGTCTCTTTTTGTATTTGTTCGTTTACAATTAATTAAAACATTAAACCATGACCTATTTGAAAGAAATTCATTGGTTATCTACATCACAAGTACATGTTATTTGTGGTAAAATAGTATTAGTAACTGATTTAACATTAAGATAGTTTTTCGAGCTGTCAATTATATGAACTTAGGAAAAAAGGGGTTAGGTAATTTCCCGATAATCAGTGGCTAGTTTTTTCATCTTGATCATCAAACGGATTATTAAGGTAATTAAATTAATACCTGAAAGAGCGCACGAGCATAGTTCTCTTAAATTTGATCAGTCAGTTTACATGAAATTTCGAAACATATAAATCTACTCGAATATGCCTACCTGAAACCTAATTTTCGAAATATTATATACTTAAAATTCATTAAAAAAAATAAAATTTCTACTAGGTTATTTAATTTTTGTAGCAAAATATAGTACTAAACTTTTAGGATACTTAAAGCCTCATAAAGGATTTTCTTGACACATTTTAGGATTGAATACTTGTGCGTCACAAGGATAGTTTAATTGGAATGTGTTTCCGATTAACACTCACGTAACGAAACTCTTTGGAAAGAGTGCATTTATGTAGAGCTTAAAATGCTTGTGTCCAGATGAGGTGAATTATTCTATTATTAGCAGAGGTGAACTGTGACTGGCAATAAATTTGAAGACGGGCTTTTCGTTTTATTTGGGACGTATCGGCTGAACTTACCTGCATTCCAGAATTGGTGTTTCAAACTCAATCGCGTTATCCGCTTAGCTACTGAGTTCAGGTAGGCACTTTTTGTGCAACAGGACGAAACAGGCGTCCTAAATTCTACTACTAGCTACTATCCACTTCCGTCAGTAATCTGTATAACGTAAAAGCGATATCGAGGCAGTTAGTGCAGAATGCAAATATGACAAAGAAACTGATCAGCTGTAGTGCTAAACAACAACGGGCAGATTCAAACAACCATTACAAATAAATTAAACTTTACCAGATTATCATACAACAAAAATGATATGATGTGAACGAACAACGTACAAAAATGTTCACTCTTATTACAACTTTTATTTGAGATGAAGTTTATTTTTTCCATCTTCAAAAGGACCTCACAACTAAATCTTGTTTTACTTGACTCCATAAATAATGACTATTTATGTATCATTGAAAAATATCAGAAACTAGATTTATACGATTTAGTATTTGTTATTTCATAGTGTCATTTTGATGAACATTTGAAAACCCTTGTACAGAAATCCTGCAGCTTTTACAATCTAATGAACGGCCAAAACATGTTATGAATTCTATTCAAACAATAATATTTTATGGTAAAATGTATTCTTCTTTGAAATAATAATAATTACTGAATCAAAACTCTAAAAGTCCTTATGCTTTTAGATTTCAATGTCACTATGTTTTCAGGTGTATGTTGTAACCTTTTCAAATTTATTTTTAGTGTTAAACAAGGTTTTCGGCATAGTTTGAGTGAGTATTTAAGATGTTTTCTTAGTGATGGTTCCCACTTAAAAGCTTAAAATAAACGAGGAACTAAGTGATGATTGTTATTTGCAATGATTTTGCAAAACATGTTGTACAGAAAATAATTTTTTATATCATGAAAAGAACAAAATTTATGGAAGTACGTCAACATAAATTTTGCATCACTGGCCATTTAAGTAATAATAGTATTTATGATAACACGAGATGATTTATTGATTCACAAGTAAATAAATTTTAAACGCCTCTCTCCCAAATAACAGAAGTGAACTCACGAATATTATCTTCTTTAACTTTCAATATTAACATCTTTTTTCTAGCTTTTAGTTTGTATAGAATAGAATGTAGAGAAAAAGAAAATTGAGAAATATGATCGGAAGTTTCTTTCATAAACATTTGATGAACCAGAAAAAAGCATTTACTATCAGTCACAAGTGGCATATCATATACCTGGTTGTTTAATTACTTATCTCTCTCTGTTAAGTCGCTTCCTACTTACCAAAAAGGCGAATTTAAACATATTGCTTGCTAAACAACAACTAAGGTGTGTTATGGTAGATTCTCAAAACTCTCTCTGTTTTCTCATTCTCTTAATGTCTGCCTAACATTAACTTTCATTGTAGAGTTAAAAGACTGATGCACACAATCTGAAATTTGTTCATTGGTTCTTACGAAGACAGTTTCGCAGATTTACACTCTCATATATATACGATAAACAGTACTGATGTGTGTTTATACATACATATACTGCATACAGTGCTCATACCTTTATCAGTATTCTTTCACTATTTTGATATATATATATATATATATATATATATATATATATATATGCACTTTAAAATTCTGTGATTGTTAATGCATATATATATATATATATATCTATAGATGTGCCTATGTAATGACAGATTCACTGTCAGTTAGTTTGTTATGCATTATGTGTTTACCAAATCAGATTTCTGTTCGTTTTTTTTGTTTTTTTTGATCGAATAAAATTTTTGTTTTGATATGGAATAGGAAAGAAAACCTCAATAATATTTTTCATGACAACGAAATGATAATAAATGAGAAAAAATAAAGACTTAAAAGTATCACATCGATGATAACCACAATAATCCTAATATAACGTCAAAAAAAAACTTAGTAGACATTAAAACAATTTTAAAATGGATTTATATCTTGACTAAATTAGTTTTTTTTACATCTTCAAGAGATTATGCATAAAAAAGGTTAACACTTTGTAATTAAATATTGATGAAAGTGGATTGTACTTAACTTTTCGTTTTTTAATAGCTGGAAGTTTCAAAAAACAAACAAACACGAAAATGTCAAAAAACACCTAATGGAATGTATAATCAGAATGCAATTTAGCCATCTCACATTGTCATTCATCATTCCTAATCGTTAATGTTTCATTATACAATATTAAAACAAATAAAATCTTTTATGTTGTACACAATAATTTGATTTATGTACTTAATCATTATAAGACCACTGGATATTTATTTCTTTGTTAGTTTTACATACCGAAATTTTCGACTGTACAAATTATCACAGACCAAATTTTTAAACTCAAATCTTTACGCAGTGGTTCCGCTGCCAGGCTTGCTAGTTGGGAACGAATCAGTACAAGTGAAGACGACGAAACAGGAGAACTTGATGAAAAACATCATAATGCTTTTAATCGAAAGCAAGAGACGTCAATTACTCATGTGGTTGGATCGAATACTGGTAAAAGTCAAGCAACAACAGTGGCTGTTACGTCAGAAAAATATAAATCAGTTTGTACCACGAAGATTAGTAATGCCAATGAAATTCCAATCAGATCACTGGTTAATCAAAGCGAGTTATTACGTCAGAATGACGTGAATTTATCAAAACTTGTAAATAAAGGAAAAACAAATGAAAAAAAATCAATTGTAAAAAAGTCAACAAGAACGACACCCACAACTGGTCAACATGTAAAATTTCCATGTCCACGTGTCAAGCCTTTTTCATCAATTTTAACATCATTAGCATCAACATCATCTTCATCGTCATCATCAACAACATTAAAATTGATTACCGAACCACCGAAATCCTCTTCATCAACAAAACTCAGGGAATGTATACCATTAAAAAACATTTTCGATTTACAAACATCTTCAATATCAGCAGTGAAACCGTCATTTGACGGACTTGACACTGTTCCGAGTAATATTAGTTGTAATGTAGTCACATCTAATAATACTAACAATATTATATTAAGTAGTCCTTTTATTTATGAAATAAAACCACCTACTGAAGATTATTCTGTTCATATACTACGTGTTCCAGTACTTGGTAGTCGTCAGTCTGGTAAAACTACATTAGTTAAACAATTTATTAATTGTATTGATCCTGGCAATCCTCTTCCTACTTGTAAACGTCCAGATTATTATGATCCAATGATATCATTCAATGATCGTATTTATAATGTACGCTTAATAGATTGCCCGCCAATCGATAAAAACTTTCCAAAAAATTCCATTGATGAATGGGAGAATTATCGTGGTTGGGGTTTAAGAAATGCTTCAGCATTTATTCTAGTTTTTGATGTTAATTCAGAATCGTCATTTCAATATATACGTCAATTACGTGAACAGATTGTTAGTGAATTTAATGATATACCATTATTATTAGTTGCAAATAAAATTGACTTACTACAACAAATTACAAATGGATTTAATTCAACTAATCTTACACCGCCATTTTATTCAACATCTTCATCTTCTTCCGCCATCACTATGTCAACATCAGGTCAAGCACAAATGGGTCATTTGAATAATTCAAATTATCGATTTAATATACGTCGTGATATAAATATGATTATTAAAAAACAATGGAAACGTACCATACTTGTTGAATGCTCGGCTAAATACAATTGGCATGTAATGAATGTGTTCAGAGAATTAATGCGCATCTTAGAGAATCGAGAACAAGCGCATAAACCGACAGCAGCTAGAGTAGTACAAAATGCATTGCGAAATAATCAATGTTCCATCATGTAGTTTTACTAATGAAACATAAATAAACAATCAAAAACTAAATTAAAACAAAGAATAAACCGATTATTTATGGCAACTACGACAGTTGAATAAATTGAGTGATCACAGTACTTTTTTGTTACATTGATGATGATGATGATGATGATGATGATGATGTAAACAAGTAAAACAAATACACTGTATTTTAATGAAAGGCCAGTTTCAAATATTTAAATTTCTATTTTTATTTGCCTCTTTCTCTCTGATTAATTTTTTTCGGGTATTTTTACTACATTTTGTTTCTCTCTCTCTCATTCACTTATGATGACTAAGTCTATTTAATTAGACGAGATATCCGGAGAGTACAGTGAATGAATGACGTGTAATACATTTGAGAGTTATTCGCTATTAATTCATTGATTAGAGAAAATAAAAGAGAATATAAAATTTTTAATTATTATTATTGTTATTATTACGCACAACAATCAAGAGAATATTGTTACAATTAATCATTGTTTAAATTATCATAATTATCATTGTTATTATTATGGTTAGTATTATTACTATTATTATTATAATGATTACTGTTATTGATATTGCTGTGCAATACTAGAATTCATATAAATAAATATACACTATTAATTGTATCCGTTTATTCATTCGTTCAAGTGTTAGTCCGATGACAAGTAGAAGAATTTATAGTTTGTTTGCGAACGATCGGTCCTGTATGCAAGAATGTTAAATCTCTAGCGGAAATATAAAAAAGGAAATCATATAGGAAGGAGATAAAGTTTCACAGCTGATTAAATTGGATCTATAAATGTTATCAGAATTAAATAAGATCATAGTAAAGTAAAAGGAGCAAATGAATCAGTGATGAAATATTGAGTTTTTTTTATTGAATTGTATGATTTCAGTGTAACAGCTGTGCAGTAATTCGATTGTGTATTTGAATTTTCGATTCAAATGATCAGTTCTAATGAAGTTGTTTTAGATTATATAACCGGTAGTTTAAAAAAAATTATTTCTTTATTAATTAATATATTGTTTTTGAATATACATCTTTAGTAAATGAGCTAGTAAAATGACCTTCATTTTTGTTTATGAAGATAATTAAGTTTGAATTTACAAACAACGTGAGTAGTATCTTTTTTAAACTAGAAGTTGACAGTTTACTCTTTACGGATCAATGCCTATTAAATCTTACGACATCATTTATTTTGAGTCATTTATTCAGTATATTATTCAAAAGTTTATGGTTATAGTATGTAAAATATTAAAATTTCAAGTTAATCTAAACTAATGACTTGACTATATAAATGTTAAAAAAATGTTAAATATTACTCATCAATTTTTAAATTATTCAATGTTCTTTAATTTCTCGCAATTTAAGAATTAGCCTATAGCCCTTCTTGGTCCGGTCCTCAGCCATGATATAAGAGGAGGAGGCCTGGGCATGCAGGTTAGTGACTTCATCCCGTAGGACATAACCTTGCTAAAAATACGCTCACCGGGAAAAATAAAATATTTCAAGAATAGTGATCTATTTTTATTATTTTATTAATAACTAATTATATTTGTAAAAGTTTATCCAGTAAAGGGGCTTCTTAAAGTTTTATTATGTTTACTTTTTCTTATACTGAACAGTGAACTCACTTTATGTTGTTAATTGGACACAAACATTTTAATCTGAATTTTTTTTTAATTTCCAATCTTTAGTTATTGTTTTTCACACTTAAACTAACTATTGGTATATATTAAACAGTTGAATTCAATTTCTATGATAATTAGAATGAATCTTTTATTACAAAATAGAAAAAAATGCTACAAACGTAATGTCATATAAACCTGATGATTTTAATAGTGATTGTGTAAATTCACAATTCGACGTCTGATCGAGCAAATTACCTAACTGAAACTACAATTAATACTAATCTGTTAATTTCCCGTTTTATAATTATATTTGAAATCATAATTCGATTTAGGACGGTTAGATCTGTAATGATTCCATGAACTTTGCAACACTAAATTTAAAAATATAGTCGCGTTCATTTCGAATAGACGACTAATTTTATTTTGACAGAGTTGATTGTTCTGAACTTTGTACATTATTATATTTATTTATTTCTAGTTGATGTGAAAGTGTGAATTCATTTTTCATTGATCCTCATGGATTTAATTGTTAATGAAGTTTCTGAAATTAAAAAGTACTACAAAAGTTTAATATAGATGGAATAATCTTGAGCCACATAGACACTGATTTAGTTATATGATAAGATGATTGAAAATAACGTGTATCATAGCTATTGAAAACTGTGGACAATTTTTTCTTACTTGTTTGAAACTTATCATTTGCATAAACTAACAACCGTACTCATTACTTTTGTCTTTTAGTCAGTAAGATACTTTTTAACTAATGATACTGGACTAAATTTTTCCACTTTGATTTCCAGCTGATTTTTCGAATGGTGTAGTTCTCTGTAAATATTATTAGTACATTACTGACTAAGTATGTATCAGTTCTCAAGATTTTGCTTATCATAAACGTATTTGCATCTTTCTGTATAAAAATAGTATTCTGTAGACAGCTGATTATTTATTTCAGAATGAAGTGCTCCATACTAACTAAGAAATACTGTAGTGCGTAGATCATTAAACAACCTTTTCGTCTATGTCTATGTTTTCTCAACGATAAACACTCATAGCTCCGCATAAAACTCAAATTAAAAAGCTTCTGGTTTTAAAGCAACTGATATATTTGAGGTCAACAACTTAAAGTTGAAGATTGCAGTTAGTTTTTCACTTCTGTATCGAATTATTTCATGGAGATTCATTTAGATGATGTAAAGTCTTACCATAGAATATATTTGAACATAAAGTTGTTGATGTGTACGTCTTTTGAAACAATCCTTTTTGAGTGCTCTGATCATATTATTAGTTCTTGAACGATTTAATTTGCTGGATTGACTAAATATTTGACAATAAAATTATATAAATACATTTCCCAGATACCGACAAGTTTGTTTTTACTTTACTAAATTAGAAACATTTTTTTCAGGTTCATATAAAGAGACATTTAAAACACTTGTTTTCTGATGATTTCATTTTTGTCATTCATGATCGAGGTTATTTAGAAATAAAAGTGTAATGCTAGCCTAACAGATAATTTATGGAAATTATATTGTAAAAAATATTAGCCTTACTTAAAATGGGAGTATGACAAAAAGAAAATTTTTTAATGAGAATCTGTCTCTCTCTATCCATATATTTAAGTATACCAACGAAAAGTGTTGTCAAAATTCTACGGAAACATCTTTTTTGTTTTTTAAAAACAGAAACCAGTTAGTTTAGTTTAATTTGAAGGCGACTTCTTAAAATCATATCATCAATTATGCATGAGAATCGTATTATCAATGTTTCCAATGGAAAAATTTGAAGAAAATCATTTTAGCTTGCAACTAGCTATCAATAACTTTGTTTTCCAATTCTGCGATTATAAATCCATGAATGTTGTGTTGCAGTAGACAGTATTGTTAGGCATACAAAAATTATAATCGAATTAGTCGGTGTTATGAAAGAGAAATAGTAAGTTCCAAATTGAATATGTCTTTGCTATTTGTTGTTATGAAAGTTGAATAGTGAAACAATGAACAGTTAGGAAAATATTTTGCTGGGGTGATTAATTATAACCTGTTAAATACAATCTTATGAGTATCGAATGGAGACCTAAATGAATGTCTCTAAATTTATTAAGGAAACGGAACAAAATTTTCACTTCAAACTGCATCGACAAAAACACCTATTACCTGTAGCTGACAAGACCGAATATATCTGAAAAAGGATGAAATAATTGTTACATAATGCAACGAATATTGTCTCTTTTAGTCAAACAGATCTGGAACTTGAGAAGTGCTGCGTATAAGAGGGATTATCCTGCACCTCATAATAAGTACCAGACTTTTTGGATAAAATTAAGAAGACTTTTCATATTATGATTTAGTGTAAACTGTCTGTCGTGTAAGACTAAACCACATACTACTAGACAATCCAGTTTTATTCAAATGAAGTAGTCTAGATTTTGGTTTGACTGAATTCTTGTAGCATTTCGATATATTAGTAATATATGAGGTAACCGAAGCCCTATTCATCAAATAAAAATTTATTGAGTAATTCTGTGAAACATTTGCATGTGGGCATACTAGCAGGTTTTAAAAATATATCTCATTCTCTACCCTCTGAACTAGTATATTTTTGACAGAGGTGGTGTGTCACCTAAGAGCAGTGAAAATACTTTCGATGTCTTACACTTAAACGCATTAGAATAAGACTAGCTTCATGATTTTAGGTTGAACTATTTCTCGACTACCATGACCATTTCATGTCTTCAAGTTTGAAAAGAAACCGTTTCGTGAAGCAAATGTGATATCCATTTCTGAATAATATTTTCCTCAGTTTCTTCAACTTTTTTTCAAAATGCATTCAGAACATGGTGATCGAATGCCATTACCAAAGAATATCCTGAGATGATGAGCCGTGCTATTGTGAACCAGAATATAAAGCGCAGTTCAATTGGTTTATTTATTTTGTTTCCGGTAGAATCTTTTGACATTTTCTATGTTATTAATCACAATAATCCATATACAAAGCCTTAAATCTTTGTGTTTTTCATGCTTTAGCGATTGTGTTTAAAATTATGTATTTGGATAGAAATATCGCAAACTATACATTTATCATTAGTGGATTTACTTACTTATCTCTAATCTTTGTAAAACTTCAGAAGGAATGATAAAACTGTATCTAAAAATACAGTTACTATCATTTAGAAAGTTAACTTAAAATATTTCTTTCTTTACTTCGTTTTCCTAGATTCTTTTTCCACATCGTTTTTTTGTGTGTCTTAGTTCTCCTGATTAAGTTTCATGAATAAACTTTTTAGCAATTAGTATCTTCTAGCCTTCTTAAAAAAATGCTTCACTTACAATTGAGATTTACAAAGATATGACCGATTAAATTTGGTCTGATTT